CCGCCGCCCCCCCGCCCCCCACCCCCACCCAGCCTGTCCATCCCTCCATCCCTCCATCCCTCCATCCCTCCATCCATCCATCCCTCCCTCCCTCCCTCCGTCCCTCCATCCATCCCTCCGTCCATCCCTCCGTCCTCCTCTTCGGTGCAAGGACAGGAGGATTATGCAAAGCACCCTTCCCACAGAAGGTTCTTTTCCTGGAGACTCAGAACCAGGGCTGGAATTCCAAGAAATTGGAGCTGCTGGGTCTCAACACGCTTGAAAGGAGAAAACCAAAGAGATTTTTGGCCACGTAAACCCCGGCCGCGCACACGCTCCTCTTGTCCCGCTCGTTGCTCCTCCATCGAGCCCAAAACGAAACCTTCAATAAAAATTCTCAAGGTTTTTGCTCCAGATCCCCCTGTTTTGGGTTTCCTCCCTCCCTGCAGCATCCGAACCCCTCAGCTCCTCTCCCACCCGACCCCGTTTCGCTCCCAAACCTCCGCGACTGCCAAAACGCCCCCGAACAAAGACAGGAGCTGGTGCAGGGGGGGAGGGAGGATCTGCAGCCTCGTTTTTCACCCTGCCATTAAAGAAAAAAACCCATGAGCTGGTGGAAAGGGGGGTGGGGGGTAGGGAGGAAGGGTGGGCATTGCCATTTTGTCATCTTTTTGGCCCCAAATCAGGGTGGCTTTTAAAGGAACTGGGCTGCCAGAGCCCGCGGGGCCCTCGCAGCGTGGGGACAAGGAGGAAAATTGGTGGGTTATGGTAAAGGGAGAAAAATAAATCAGGGTGGGTTTTTGTTTGTCTTCTGAGGCCACAGGGGCAGCAGGTTTGGGATGAATATTTAGCAGCCAGGCGGCCGCGGCTCAAAATCCTGAGCGTGCTGAGATAGGGGGAGAAAATAAAGGGGAAAAAGGAAGAAAACACTCAATTCTCAGCCTCATTTTGCAGCGGGTAAAGAACTGGGAGATTTTTAGGTCAACGAGAAAAGCAGCGAGAGGATGGGGTAGGAATAAGGTCACGTTTTCCTCCCCCTTCCCCCCCCCTTCCCAGCCTCAGCTCCACGAGGGGCACGTTTCAAGCCGGGCTCGGTAGCTGGGAATTTATTTTAATCTTTCATTTTCCTCCCTCGCAGGCTGATGATTTTTTTTTTTTTTTATATATATTTTTTTTCTAAGGCCCTTTCCCTGCTTTCGGGGCTGTTACAGCTCTATTTAACATCTTTATGTGGCCTCCTGAGCTGGGGAGCTCTCTCTCTCCTCCGCGCTGCGCTGCTCGCA